GGACCATATCCTCATCTGGGCAAAGGTGCCCGAGCTCTGATCTTCACTTTCGGGCAAAGGTGCCCGAGCTCTGATCTTCACTTTCGGGCAAAGGTGCCCGAGCTCTGATTTGCACTTTCGGGCAAAGCTGCCCGAGCTCTGGTCTGCATTTTCGGGCAAAGGTGCCCGAGCTCTGGTCTGTATTTTCGGGCAAAGGTGCCCGAGCTCTGGTCTGCATCGGGCAAAGGTGCCCCAACTCTGATCTGCACTTTCGGGCAAAACCGCCCGAGCCCTGCTCTGCACTTTCGGGCACAACCGCCCGAGACCTGACCTCCCGAGTCCTCCGAGCTCTTGCGTCTGCCCGAGCTCCGCCTGCCCGAGATGCCGCCGAAGAAGGGCAAGAAGGCGGAGGCAGCGGCGGCCAAGAAGGCCCGTCAGGAGGACAAGGAGAAGGTTCAGGTCCGAGAGGCGATCGCCTTGCAGCAGAGGCAGGGCCAGGCTCAGATTCTGAGCGAGCTCATGGGCTACTTCGAGTCCCACCCGAGCGAAGCCAGCTTTATGCTGGCTAACATCAAGGCCGGGCACATGGACTTCAACAACGAGCCCGAGCCGTCCGAGACCAAGCTGCCGGGCCACATGAACAAGGTGAAGCTGTTGAGCAAGGAGGTCAGTCTGGGCATACTGTCCGAGCTCAACAGCGGCCTGTCCGAGTGGCTGAGCACGACAACGGTGCAGCCGGCGCCCGAGGACGGCGGGAGGCAGAAGTCCTTGTCGAGGCTGGATGTGGCCAGCGTGCTGGGTTACCTCTGTGGGATGGACCCTGCGAGTGCTCTGCCGTGCAAGAGCCTTGGGCGACTGACGAGGAAGCTCAAGGAGCGGTACGAGTTACTCGGCGCCCGAGGGTCCACCTTCCGAGTGTCCGAGCAGAAGACGTTGAAGGACTGGAGCGGTACAAGTTGTGTGAAACTGGGAGTGGAATCCCCCTAATTAATTAATTAATTAATTAATACTTAGCAAGAATAATTAGTATTAGTACGTAACTCAGTCACTGAGACACAGGACTTCTGGGCGGAGCACAGCTACTGGAGCCTCGAGAAGATCGCGGATGGGCAGTTCAACCTCGTCGACAACACCTTGGTCACATCCGCCGCCCGAGCCAAGACCAAGGTCAAGCTTCCGGCCGAGCTCTGTGCAGGAGGTGACCCCGTCTTGGCCGATCCCTTCCTGTGGGCCAAATGCACAATCAAGCGGGGAGTGTGCGTCCGAGCTGTGGGTCAGCTGCTGGAGGAGATGAAGATTCAAGACCGCTTCGCGGTGAGTCGGCCCCTCGTGCTGAAGGAGTGTGACGGCGGCCCCGAGACTCCTACCAAGAAGAAGATCACCACTCCAAACGAGGCGTCCGAGAAAAGCCAGCAGCCGGGTCCCACAGCGAACAAGACGCCCCAGTCTCGGAAGAGAAAGCGGCTTCAAACTTCCGAGTCCCCAGGCTCACCCAAGACGCCTCGGAGGCGGCTGTTCTCGCCCGGAAGCAACGGTGCCGGGCCCGGGCCGAAGGCAAAGTCGCGTCCGAGCACTCCCAAGTCCTCCAACAAGGGCGAGAAAGACGAGGCAGATGAGGAGCTCCCCGAACTCGAGGAGAACGAGGGCGAGCCTCCCGAGAACGGCGACGGCACTTTTCAAATGTGATGCGTCCGAGGAGGCATCTGGGTGTTCCAACTTTCTGACAGTGGGGCTGTAGAAGAAAGAGTTCCCTCCCGACGAAGCCGGCCAGACCGGTGGGCCGCTCTGGAGTAGCTTCGTATTTTGGTTCCATAGCCTCCATGCCATCAGTCAGTGACGTTGCGAAGACACGAGCAACACACCCTGGCTGGACAAAAAGTTACAAGGGTTTGGCCTTGCACCTGAATTCAATTCCAGACCTGCACGACCCATGCTGTCCCATCCTTGCGAGGTACCTGCTGCCTGGGCGTTCTTGCCATCGGACAACTTCGATGCCGACTTCAGGCACACGGGGTCAAGAAGTCTTTCCTTTGTTCCGGATTGAATTCTGAGAATCTGCCATGCGAGTTTATTTGGTCCTGGCAGTCCTCTCCTCGCAACGGTAACTGCACATGTCAGGGTAACCTGCTGCCTCTGTACCCCAACTAGTTATTATATACAACTATGTCCACACTTGCTGAACGAGACTAGGCTGTCTTCCTACAAACTCACAGGGGCTTGCTTTGACTATGGGGTCAGAATAAATACAGAATTAACAATAATCATGAATCATCATCTACATCCGTGCTGCCGTTACAGTCTCAAAGTTTCAAAGGGCCACAGCTCTCTGTATGGGGTCGTCGACAACTCTTCAAAACTCTCGCTCTGCACGAAATCCCAGTCACTAATTAATATTATCAGTACTGTACTGTTGTCACGTTATTATGTATCCTTAGTACTTCTTCTTCTTATAATTATTTACTACTATTACTACTATTATTTAGTATTGCCACCCGACAAATGCATTGCAGGTCAATCAATCCCTGCTTGTCCCAATTCCTTTTTTTTTTTTGCTTTTTTCGTCCACTACAAGTAAGAATCATCATGACTGCCGAACCGGCTCCAAATGATCCCAATGCACTCGCCGCTTGCAAACAAGAGCCGCACGAGGGCCACCTGAAAATCATTGCCACTTGGAACGACATCACGATTCTGGAGCATCAAATGACCAAGGAAACATTGTTGCTGCGTGGCGAGGTCACATTGAAATTCAATGCTGCCGGTTTCGCGTTCGTCCGAGTGGCAGGGGAGAGTACGTGGCTGTCGAAGCTCTTGAAGTATCACCTTTTTAGACGTGCTTCCAGCGAGGGCGACACGTCCGAGGGCTCGTCGGAGACGGAGCCTTTCGTTATTACCCGCACAGAGACAGGAACCCAGTCGCAATGGCTGAAAAGCTTCCTCCTTGGAAGAAGACTGTTGCAGACTGATTTGTCAACCGCACTCCAAACGGAGAAACCAGTCTCCATTCTGCAAGCCCGAGGACCCTGTAGGCATTTCTGGCGGCTTACTTCCTTTATCCGAAAGCCACGACAGACGATTATGGGCAAGCTGCGACGGTTCTGGCTGCCAGCCTTTGTGTCCGAGCTCCAGCTGGAAAGCGGGAGAGGGCACGTGCTCTGGCCGCCTCACTGCAAGGAGACGGGACAAGGCGAAACGGAGGACACGGCTCATGATCTGTTCGTCAGCACGTTGTTTCTCTGCTTTCTGCTGCATATGTTGTACGTCTACTCTGATGAGACCACGACATTGCTCCCCCTGTTCCTTCAGAGGTTGTTGCCGGAGAAGTGGAGGGTTCGGGTCGCGTCCGAGGCAGCTTCTCTGGTCATCCGACACGGCAATGTCACATTGTCCGAGTTGACCGAGAGGACCTGCTACAAAGAGCGGATGCGGGGCTCCAAGAAGACTGTGCCCATGAAGTCCAGGAAGACCCAGCCCGTGCACGAGGTGCTCAAGCAACTCTGGAGGACGAAGGCCCTGCGGTGGCTTCGAGCAGACGTCTTGAAAGGCTTGTCCGGGGCAGTGGATGCTGGTGTTCTGGCCTCCGACTTCGGGGAGGATCCCTGCCAGGACTCCATTTTCGACAGCAGCGACAAGCCAGACATGCGTGATCCTGCCGTCCGAATGGCCAGAGTGCGAGCAGCCCGCGTCGTCCGAGGCCCCGCCGATGCCAAGCTGTCCGCCCGAGCCAAGACCAACCTGAAGGTGCAGAAGGTCCGAGCTCGGTCGATGGTGAAGGCCAGGCAGCGCGTCCGAGAACGGTTCCAGTATTGGATGTCCTGCAGGCGGGTGCTTGGATCGGCGAAGACGTTGCACATTGCCTTCGATGCGTCCCGAGTCGGAGGCAAGAAGAGGTCGTACTATGCGATCCTGGACAGCCACACTGGGTTGGCAGCATGGGGGCCACCGCTGATTCTGAGGGATTCTGGGTACAGGGCTGTCACGTCCGAGCCCACTCCCGAGGAGCAGGGGAGGCTGGACTCCAAGACCCGAGGGTATCTGCTGAGCTTGCGTGCCCGAGACAATGCTCTGTCGTCCGAGGCTGCGGCGCCTGTGGTCCAGAAGAAGCAGCGGTTGCCTTCTTTCGAGCAGGTGGTGGCGCTGGAGCAGACGTTGCAGAGCATGTGTCCGAGTGCAGCAAGCCTGCTGGAGTTCACAGCCCCAGACCCGGAAGGTCGCCTGGAGATGCCCGTGCTGTGTTTCAATGCGGACGCTGGGCCGGACGTAATGAGCTGCTTACAGTTCTTGCAGAACCACGTCCGAGTCCGCATGATCCACTTTTGGGATCCAAGACACCGACTCGCCCGAGAGTTGGAAAATGCTGTGAGCCATGCAAAGCTGAAAGGCGCCCTGTCCCTAGGCGAGCTAGTTATCAACTTTAGTCGGGGCCCGTGGAGCTCGCACAAATGGTTCCGCCGTCTGCAGGAGGAGATGGTAGACTTCGCTGCAACACTGTCTGCTGCACCGCCAGACGTGCGAGAGAGAGGCGGCTTTCTCTTTCAGCATCTCCGGGAGGAGATTGCACTCCAGGCTGGCTTGCATGTCGAGGAAGTCACACCCGAGAAATGCAAGGATCTCTTGCAACACAGCGGCTTCTTGAGGAAGCGTGGGCCCAGCAACATGAGCAGGTGGGATGCATTTGCTGTGGGTTGGTCCGAGAGAAAGTCCGAGCTGGGCCTCCTGAAGCTACTGTGCCTGTCCTATGGCCTCAAAGCCGGCTATCTCCAGCCGGCGACCAATGCCGCCGCCAACCGAGCTACCGAAGAATGGGCCGGCCAGGTCTTGTCCGAGGGCGACGGAGACAACACATTGGGCTCTGATGCCAAGCAGCGCCTGTTCCAGAAGTGCGTCAACAAGCTTCATGTGGTCACCAACATCTTGTTGCAGAAAGACACGTGTGACAAGCTCAACTGTTGGTTTCACTTGAGTTGGCCGATCTCTCAGGAGCTGCATCGCCTCAGGACCACCCTGAAGAGAGGTCGAGATGGTTGTGAACAGCATCTCCTAGAAGAGGCCCGCGGCTCTAGCTTGGAAGTCCTCACGACCATCTTCGAGACTGCAGTGTGTCCCGACGTCCGAGAAGACCTGGCTATTTGGCACGGTGCCCGCCTCGGTGCAGGGATGATCGGCCGAATGACGGTCGAGGACCCTATCGTCAAATTCCAGAACAAGACATGCCAGATGGTGCTGGAAACTGCTTTGGAATTGGCTCACGTCAAGATGCAGTATGCCTCGGTTACCATGTTTTCTTGGCCCTCCCAGCTCGTCCTCCTTGCCTTCGGAACCGAAGAAGAGCAGAACGTTACACTCGTGAATCTGTACCTGTCCGAGCAGGCACACGCCCGAGCCATGGCCAACAGCGAGAAGCTGAAATGGCTCCGGGTGTTTGCAAAGCGATCGCCGATGGGGTCCAGGCTTATGCGGGACGTCGTCGCGAACTTGCATTCGTCCGAGTGGCGCATCACGAAACGTTTGCTGAATTGGCTGCAGCCGCTCTTCCGAGGTTTGGGGGCCACCTGGAACGAGGAAGCGTTTGGCGACGCCCGAGAGTTGGAGGGCAAGGAGAACAAGGGCCACGAGCTGAGCTCCACGGAGGCTTGGGAGTGTTGCTCTTACAGTCGGACGCTCACCTCCTTTGGATTTCGGGAAATCCAAACCGAGCCGACCGAGGCCGAAGGCAACATTCCCGAGTCTCTCTTCCGTCTGGAGAAAAACAAGGTGCCCGAGAAATTGAAAGCAATAACTGCACCAATGAAGTGGACCTCCCTCAGCCAAATTGGTCTTTGTGCTGTGGCCTGCGAGTTGGCCGTCCTGAAGGATGCCATGGATCAGGACCGAGTGGCTCAGCTTAGCGACTCCTGGCGGAGCGGGATGTTAAGAAGAGGCACCGTAGTTGGCCACACCTCTTTTCCCGAGTCCGACAGATATCTATCCATGGGCGCCTGGCCATCGCATTCCGGTGCACTTCTGCTGCCCTTGAAAACCTGCCAGGGCGGCTTCAACTTGGACCTTCCACTCACAAAAGACAAGCTGAAGTTTGTTCAGGTCTTTCGACTCTCCGATTGGTTTGCGTTGCCCACGACCGTTAAGAGCCCTTTGCACCATGCCATTCGAAACGGCGGCACTCCGACAACCGCACCCCTCCTCACGGTGACAGGCGAAGCCCGGAAACCTATCCTTCAGTACTGTGCGGAGCATGCTTTCTTCGACATGGACGAAACACGACTGTCTTTCATTCTCAAGGAAGAGTGTGGCATGGGAGACCTCGATTTTTCCAATGCCGAAACTGCCTTGGGTGAGATGCTTTCCACGGCCGTTCAAAAGACTCTGTCTGTGTCCGAGGACCAGGCAGCAGACATCATGGAAAGGTCCCTGAAGTATCGGCAAGCCGATGATGCAGATTTGAATGAAATCCTGCAGTCGCCCGAGTTTCAGGAGCTCCTGACGGCCGAAACTGACAAGCAAATCAAGGAAGTCTTGTCCGAGTCCAAAACAAAGCATCGCAAGGCCATGTCCGTGTCAGCAAAGATCCGGCAAACCCGGACTGCTGCAGTCAAGAAGGACAAAAAAAAAAAAAGGACGTCAAGCGGAAGCCTGTGAGGTTCGAGTCGAAACAACTTTACTCGGAGGAACACGTCAATGGTTGGTTG